TGTTTCCATTATTCCATCAAAATAACTCAGGCCAGATTGTAAAGTCTTTAATGGCGCATTGATATCTTGTAACAGGATATGTCAAGCACACCATTAGCATCAAGGCAGACTGGATTTACCACGTAATGCATTAGAATGACTTAAGTGGTGGAACATTATGAGCAAGCCTCTGCAGACCACAAGTCCATAGGGAAGCTACTGTACACAAAAATACCCTTCTATAAATGACACTTTTCTAGATAATTTGTCAGCATCTGAGATAAAAAGAAATGTTCATATTAGTTCTCAAATGTTCACAAATGTATTAATTTACTAGGCAAAGTATACACAAGTTTAACAGACAGTATATATAGGTTGATTAACTGACTTTCTCTACTGCAATTAAGCAATACAGCTCCCTGCCCCTATTCTGTGACTGCAAAGTGAAACAGTAGTGGACGGCAGCATACTAGTGCTGACCATACACTGATCCAAATTTGGTTGGTTCAGTACGTGGCCATTCCTGTCCGGTTGCTTGAGCAACTTCTGTTGAACAGACAAGTCAGAAAATGTTTCTCGATCAGCGGCTGCAACCACTGATCAGTGTATTCCTGCAGCACACCTGGGGGCAGGAACAGCTCCATTTTCATACCAGCTAAAAATCAGTGAGATCTCTGGTGCAGTTTAATTAGCAGCTGCAGGTCTATCACACAGCCTCGCCAGTACTAACTGAATGTTTACTATTGAATTTGTGATTAAACAGTCAGTGCTGGTGGGGGCTGTGTGATAGATCTGCAGCTGCTAGTAAATATAAACTGCACCTGTAGATCTATTACACAGCTCTTCAGCACTGACACTGAAGTAGTAAAATGTACTATTGAATTTGTGAATGAACAATCAGAGCTGCAGGATAGTTCACTGGAAATCTGGGGAGGTGACTACAGTACTGGCTGTAGCTCCCCAATAGGAAAGGCCAAAATTGGGCTTCAGTCTGGGATGGAGCTACAGCTCGGCACAAACATAAGTATTAATGTGCTTTTAATGTACAAGGGGTATTAAATAAAAAAAAAAAATAAGTGACATTCCTTTAAAATGAGGTATGCGATAACTAATCTACTTGAAATGATTGATATTGATATGCTGGGGATTTTCATGCTTTGTATCTCCGCAATAAGAAAGATGAAATAGGTGGTGTTGGAATAACAGTGAATTTGTGGACAAAGCATGTTTAACAGTTCACTTGGAACTGCCAAGAGCCCTTTAATAGATCTGTTGCCCGATTATACCTATAAGTACAATATATCAGAGGATGCATTATAATATATTTTGCATTATATTGGTATGCCTGTTTATTAAATAATATACTAGCTACCCAGGTTCTAGAGCTGTTTTTTAGTATCCTTTACAATGTGGTGTTGTCTTTCATGTTGGTTCTTGAGCACATATGTGGTGTGGGAATACTTTAAGTGAATATTTTTTTATTGAACCCCAGCAGAGGGAGGCGCTGCCACAATACTGTGTGAAAGCTGGGGGGGATTCCTCCATCCACACAAACAGCCCACTGGCTGAACAAATAATAAACTAATAGGGTATGGCCAGCTTTAGTCCTGCTGTACAGGGGATTAAGAGTCTTACACTCCGATCATATCAAACCCGACTCTGAAATCGTGCGACTGCCACTGATTGAACAATTTTCTGTTTGTTGATGAGCAGGATGTTTTAACCGATAATGACATTGTGAATGAAAAAATCCGGTTGAACAACAGTGAAAAATGTTGTCGTTTTGCATACGAACGATCAATTTTCTATGCAGTGGTATGACGGTCGTACGAAAAAAAAATCTATCAATCGCTATCACGCATGAGCGGAAACAGAAGATGACTCAGATGTTTATGTCCAAGGAATCTTCCTAAAACACGAACGAAAAATCCAAATGTTAAAAGTAGATTGGCCTAATGAGATAATGATACATAAAAATATAATATGCATAATTCTGGTTTCATTATGTATATAGATAATGTAATAAACTATATTATACTCATTGCTGTTAATTGTTGTGTATATCACTCGTTCTGGGCGGCAGGGCGTGGCTACAAGGTCACACGCACACCACATGACTTCCACTAGTACGGAAGACATCAACACTACGTATTGCCCGAGGAACGATTTTTTAGATTGGTTAATGTGGGCCACGATTTCGGTCAACGAACGAACACCTCTCGGTCGTTGGATGACCGATCGGTTGATTTTCTAATCGTGTGTTCCCATCTTTACAGTGAAATCGCACGATTTCAAAGTTGGGTGAACTGCCGATTTCAGGTGCGATTTGCAAGACATCTGACACAGATGTCTATGCAAATCGTACCAAAAGTAGTGCATGTACTACTTTGGAATTTGGTGCGGCTCCAACCAAGTCAGAACCGCACCGATATGACCGTTGTAATTGCGGACAATAGGGTGCAACTTGGCAAATCGCATGCCAATTCGCATCCAGTGTGACCGGGGTGTAAGGTGAAGACAAATTCAGGTAGTTCTACTAATTGCAGTTAACATATATTTAGTGTTTTAATGAATACATAAATAACATAATATATTCCACTTGTCCTGGTGATATATTCCATATCTCACTTCTGGCAACTGGCATAGTATGCTTTTCCAGTTATTCCTGGTCGCTGACACTGTCCCAGATCTAGCTGTTGCACTTAACAGCTAGAGCTCTACAACTGACCCCAGACAATGAACCACATTAGAATGAGTGGTCTGTAAAGGGAGACTATGTCTGTGGTCATTGCTGGAATAAAACCTGGAATAATTGCCCCCACTTCTTGTTTGGCTACGGGACAGGAAGTGAAGGGAAATCTCCTCAATGGGACACAGATGGCGCACAAAAAATCTGACAGAGGTCATAATGAAATGAAAAAAAATGTGCCTATAGTTCTACTAACTGTGTTTTCATTTTCTGAGGAATGGTACAGCTAGGGTCTTGTTGCTTGACATCTCAGCTCCCTCGACCAGCATTTAGAAGTACTTTGACCACGCTGTGTTCCATTGAGGGTGGAAGTGTAATGTCAGTCGTGTTCTCTGTATCATTACACAGATTTCCTGTACCTGGTGCTATCACATGCACTGAGATGTGATGCATTTCCCCTTGAGGTGATCTGATTTCCTGTCAGCCTGACGCCAGCTATATTGCTGACTGATGGAAAGATAAAAGTTTGACAGTTCCTATGGTGATCAGGAGTGGTTCCTCCATATCTTCTCCCTGGAGGTCATCTTCACTTGAGGGAACTGTTGTGAAATTGGGAAGAAATGGCTTCCATGGCTTTGCCGACAGAGAAGTTTTGTCCTCGAAGTTAAGACCTCAGCCACAGACCTCATCCTGTTTCCCTTCACTGCGGCTCATGTGGTGCTGCAGATGTAAGAGGCAACTGTCACGATTTTGATCTACTCCTCCTCCTCCACCGCCTGCACTTGCTGTATGTTGCCTGAGGACAGGAAGTGTGTGACAGACCCAGCAGGCTGTTGTGTTTCCAGTATGTGGTGTAATGGGCTGTGCTGGGTTCACTGGTGACCACTCTGCTGTGAGATGTGACATGTCCTGCGGTAAGCTGTACTTCTCCCTTCTTAGTGGCCACTGCTTTGTAGGTTTATTCCAATTATTGTGATGGAGTGCAGTATTCTGCCACTTGTACTGCAAAGGTAAACGTTCTTTTTCTCAGGAAATGGCTGTGTTAATGTCGGGGAGATAAAAGTGGTGAAACTGCTTTTTTTTTTCATACAGACGTTATAGCAACATGTGTGTGCATGTGCATTTTTTTTTCTATTCCATTCCATGGTAAGGTTATTTTTTAGAAGCATTCATCACATGATACTTGTATATTGTATAGTCTTGTGCTGTGTTCTGATCATAGTGGCTAGTCACTTTTGGGGGGGTGATGTTTACGAAACTGTACAGCAAGAGTTAACTGCTTGTTTATGTCTAGGTGATTCGGGTAAAGCAATTTTACTTACATGATCCTCCTTGTTGCTAGGCCGGTGTTTGACATCTCTTCTTCCCTATGCTCTGGCCGTTTAAAGGCCTCTGACATCATCAAGACTGATGCAGGGACCATAGACCTGCATTGGTCGTGAGAATGGCCAGGGACAGTCCACTGCTGGAGTGCTGTCTGCTGGGGAAGCAGAGGTCCAGGTCAGTAAGTGCTTCCCCTAGATCAGTGGTTCTCAACCTTCCTAATGCCGCGACCCTTTAATACAATTCCTCATGTTGTGGTGACCCCCAACCATAAAATTATTTTGGTTGCTACTTCATAACTGCAGCAGCTCTTCTCATTCCCGCCATACAAGGTGTCACACCTCCCCCATCCCCACCACACAGAGCTGCCAGCTCTCTTCACACACGGCCTGCTCTCACCTCCTCACTGACGCCATCTTGGATCCGCTCTCCCCCCTCCTCCACCCAGTCTCCCAGCTAGCCGGCTCCCTGACAGAGGCCACGCCCAATCTGAGGACGTCAAAACCTCTTCACTGGCACTTCCCGTTGACACGTCACCTCGTCTGGTTGGTCAAGTTTTAGTCCGCCCGCATTTAGAGCTGGGGATGATGTCGCCGCTCATCGATGATTGGGGGAGCAGTGCAGACAATGGGCGGGGTGGATGTCGTGGAAGATGATAGGCTGGGGCAGAGGGGTCAGGTCTCATCACTGCTGACTGTTCTCTTACTCGTATGTGGGCGTATCTGCATGGGGGTGGACCCACCTGGAGTTAGAGGAGCGGTGTCTAGGTTCCTAAGACCATCCGAAATATGTTTTTTCCGATGGTCTTAGGCGACCCCTATGAAAGGGTCGTTTGACCCCCAAAGGGGTCGCGGCCCACAGGTTGATAGACCGCTGCCCTAGATAGAAATGTGCAGGTAACCCCTGCAGTGCAGGCATATTCCCACTGAAAGGGAGCATTTTTACTTTTCCCAGAGTTGGCCTTTAATGTGTTAATGGAGTTCCAAAAGGGATTTTCAATATTTTTAAAATCTCGTGTGCACTAACCCTAGGTTCACATCTGTGCGGGTGGTGCCGCACAGAAATCCGTGCAGCCACCCGCACAGAGAAATGCGGACCCGCAAGGGGTGCCATTCGTTCTAATGCCACACCATCTGCACTGGAAAACGCAACCATACTGGGAATCGAGGTTCCCCCGTGTGGGCTGCATTTTCCAAAGAAGTGCAGGGACTTCTTCCTTGCGTTTCACGGGCACGCAGAGAAGGCTAAATGAATGGGCTCTCGTGCCCGTGCAAAACGCGGCCCCCACAGCCACGTATATGTGAACCAGGGGTAAGCATTAAAAACGCTGCTTTTAGAGGCGTCCAGTTTATGTTTTTTTTCTGCCTTGAAACGCCCCTCCGTGTTAGCCTATAGTATGTGTCCAAAGGCGTCAACACTAGACGCATCAAGCGTTTCATTTCAATGGTCAGAATAAATTCTTATTATAAAAATCAAAAAAAAAAATGCATTGTTGATGATTTATGGTTTACTTGTGGGAACACAGTACATGCTAGCTGCAATACTTGTTTCATAGGAGGTCCATTGCGCTGAGGGTTTCTTATAAATACATTCTTATTCTGACCAGTAAAGTGATTTACTGCCCAAGCGTTTGATGCGCCGTAACATGTTTTCACGCGTCAAGCATTTTTTCTGCCAAAATGCTTCTGCCAGCAAGAAAGACATTTAGGAGAGCTGAGCAAATGAACTGCATGGGGCCTAAATTTGCAGATTTCAGCTTTTCAGATAATACCTGGGGATTACATCATGAATGCCATATTCAGGCACTTCCTGATAAAGGCTGACAACACTCTGTCCCTATCTTCCAATTACATTGTCACTCTGTCACATGGGCTCCCGATGGAGATTACAAGTGCTTGTTTCAACAAACATTGTGCAGGCATTGTACAGTTTGCCAAAATTATACTGTAAAGGGGTTTAGGGACTATTGTACATTTGGAATTGTATCAGCAAGGACGTTGTAAACCAAATGCAACTAAAATGACCTGTAATACAGTAGTAAATGCAGGTCATTGCCACAATTAGATAAAGTAATGAACAGGGTAAAAAAAAAATGTTTCACCGAGCAGCAATGGTTGATTAGGCAGCTTTTGACTGTGGCTCCCCATTTACTGGTGTTTCAAACATGGTGGCAGATGGTCCTGATCAGGTGGCTATAAGAAGATTGCCTGTCACCATTTTTCAAGGCAAAGGCTGTTGGCTACCCCAGATCAAACCACGTAGAGTGGAGAGAAGTTGTACCTCTATTTGGATGTGGGCCGTTTCATGACAATAAAACACTGCCTGAACCTGCCAGAATCCCAGGCGTACCCCCTTCTGACCCTGTCCGCTAAAAATGGAGATGGATGAGGAAGAACAAGGCCTATGATGAAAAGAACACCTTGCCTACTGTGAAGCATGGTGGAGGGTCAATCATGCTTTGGGGCTGTTTTGCTTCTGCAGGTACAGGGAAGCTTCAGCGTGGGGCCACATGAATCACAAGGCATTTTACCTCACGCACAGTAGTCCCACTACGGAGAATGGTGGAGGTCCACAAGAACTTTAAATTGAAAAATAATTCACGAGGTTGAGAAAGGTGTGGGGGGTCTGGTGGGAGCGTTAAAGATGTTTGGATAGTGTTCTGTGGACTGATGAAACAACTGTTTGGGCCCATGGATCAACGCTATGTTTGGAGGAGGAAGGGATGACAGTACCAGGAGATGTAACAGACATGGTTGCAGAGGAAAGGCTGGAACATTTTGGAGTGGCCATCACCGAACCTTAAAGAAAGCAGTTGCAGTGCGCAAGCACAGGCCCTTTGCCCTGGCGAAGATACCCACCCACTGTAGATGCTGGTACATGCACTTGGGGGTTGAATAAAACTGATAATGTGTGAGCCGACATTTCTGGTTATTTCATAAGTTAAATTTGTCTGACACAGTGACCTGTCATCAAAAGCAATGTCCTGGCCAAAACACTCAATTTAGTGGGGGTGATCACTGCGGACAGAAATGCCCCCGCTGATGTTTAGCCTGGTTGATTGAGGACCGACTGATCAGTGCCTGTCCAAAGGGGCTTTAATGTAAAAAAGGAACTGTCCGCTAAAAATAATTGCTGGGATGATTGTTTGTGAGGCGGTGTTCACATCTGACTCACCTAGAGGACACATGTGCAAAATGGACAGACATGTCATCCGCAACTTTTTTGCAGAACAGATGAGACCGCCACTTGAAACTGCCTATGTAAAAGGAACTAAATTGTTTGTTTTAAACCTACATGTGCAAAATCATGGCAACTTTTTGCAACTGCCACTTAAGAAAAAAAAAACAAAAGTACACCAAGACAAAAAATCTGCCCTTGTTTTTATTTAGGCCTAAGCAGTTTGCTTTTGATCCATTTCTGCAGTGTGTTTTGCGTTGTTGCACATTCATTTTGTGATGCGTTTTGCCTTTTTTTTATGCTTTTTTTTTTCTACCATTTGGAAAATATCACAGTTTTAAAGGGCAGGTGAAAAAAACATAAAATGCATCAAAAAGTCTATTGAACCAAAAACGCACCATGTTGCGTTTAGGAAAGTCCCTGACGCTTTCTAAAAATGCAGTGGCTGAAAAAACGCATAGATGTGAGCGTGTCCCATAGGAAACCATGTTAAATGGACTGTAGTGCATTTCTGCAAAAACCAAAATGCACTAAAAACCACATACTGTAGAATATACAGTATAATACACATTATACTGTATATTCTGCTTCCCTCTTTCTGAGAAAAGAAAACACATGTTTTACATTAGATGTATAAAATAGTGTGTGTGTTTGCATATCGCAACCCGCTGCTGTCGATGCAGATCACAAAACCATTGCACAGAGCAGGTAAGTATAACATGTTTTTTGTTTGTTTTTTTATGTTTTGTTTTTTTAAAGTAGCACTCTAATTATTACAGTTTACATATACTTTATTACTGTAATGCTAATTGTCTGCTTTTATTATTTTTATTTAATGAATCTGTAATTTAAAGTTAAGCAAATATAAATATAGCATGGTGCCATCTTTTATATTTATTCCTGTTCAAAGATTATTCTGGAGCTCTGTGAGCGGAGACGTGTAAAAATACCTGTTTCATGTTGGCACTCGGTCCAAACCTAAAATCTCCCCCACCATTCTATAATGCATAACACGTATCCCTTTATTAGCCAGTGATACCTATGAATTGGCTGCCAGGAAAGCATTACCTGACCTCTGTAAAACAGAGCAGACAGCTCAGAGGTACTAGGTATCTGATGCAATTGTTACTATGCAAGTCTGGTTGTGGGATTTGTTTACATAGCTGAGTGACAAGGAGAGGCAGCTCATGTGCTTGAATGTGACACCCTCTGATTTCCATACATCTCTTTGTCTTCTTTTATATAAATCTTTCACAAACCAGAGCACCTGAAATTGAGCTCTTGAAATAAAATGCCTAAACAAAGCTAAACCATGAAAACTATTGGGTAAATATGATGAGTTCATCCAGGGATATGGGTGGCTGAATATATACTGTATGCAAATATCAACACATCCTGTAAAAGTCATGCTTAGCCGTATCCCCCTTTTCACTTCCCCATTGCCCAATGACTGTCTATCATATTTATAGTAAAAGCCCAATAGAGAGGCTCAGAAGACAGCAGAAATCAGAAATTTACATTGATACGGGCGGCACAGTGGCTTAGTGGTTAGCACGTCTGCCTTGCAGTAAATGGGTCATGGGTTCGATTCCTGACCATGGCACCTCGTGCATGGAGTTTGCATGTTCTCCCTGTGCTTGCGTGGGTTTCCTCCGGGTGCTCCGGTTTCCTCCTACACTCCAAAGACATGCTGGTAAGTTAATTGGCTCCTGTCTAAATTGGCCCTAATATGTGTATGTATGAATGTAAGTTAGGGACCTTAGATTGTACACCCCTTGAGGGTTAGGGGACTGATGTGGATGTTCAATATATATGTTTAAAGAGCTGCGTAAATTGACAGCACTATATAAGTACCTGAAATAAATAATAAATAAATTAGCAGCAAACTGGCCACAGCTTCATGGGTGGCCAAGACTCATTGATGCATGTGGGGAGTGAAGGCTGGCCTATGATGTCTGATCCAATAGAAGAGCTACTGTGCCTTAAATTTCTGAAAAAGTAAAAGGTGGTTCCAATAAAAAGGTGTCAGAACACACAGTGCATAGCAGTTTGACATGTAGCCGCAGACCAGTCAGGGTGCCCTTGTTGACTCACAGCAATGGAAGAAGGTGGCCAGGTCTGAACAATCCTGATTCTTTTACATCATGTGGATGACCGGGTGAATAGACCTGTGAAAGAGATGGCACTAGGTTGCAGTATGGGAAGAAGGCAAGCCGATGGAGGCAGTGTGATGATTTGGGCAATGTTCTGCTGGGAAACCTTGGTCCTGCTATTCATGTGGATATTACTTTGGAGTCCATGCCTCAACAAGTCATGGCTTTTTGGCATGGCATGTTAGGTGGGTGGCCAAAATGTTATGACTGACTGGTGTATATAATACTTGACTGCAGTGGTATATTTAGATTTTGTGCTGCCCCTGGCAACTAAAAAACTGTGCTTCTTCCAGCACTCACCTTCACAGCTCTCCTGAATGAAACCAGCCAGCCATCGCCAGGGATGTGAACAGGAAAAGCTGGTGTTGTCTTTGTGTGGTGCGCTCAGCCAAGTATATGGACATGCTTAGGAACAACAGTCGGCCTCTGCCCCTGCCAGCCTCTGCCTGCACCCTCCCACAGCTTTTCTTGGATCCCATGTAGTGGCTTACCTGGTCCCCATCCTCAGTCACCCAAGTCCCTTCTTCCAGGGAATGGTGCTGCCCACTGGAAAAATGCCGCTCAAGGCAAACACCTTGTTTACCTCTCTGAAGTACGCCCCTGCTTGACTGTTCTAGTAAGAGTTGATACATATGATTTCAGTAGCCTGTCTCTGCTTATATATGCCTACATCTGATGGATTTTACTCTGCTTGGTTAGAGTTACCCAGGATTGTAA